GAAGAGCTCAGCCTAAACATGCAATGTTTGTGTGATAAATATGTGTGAATGAAACAAAAGACATAATAACATAGATTAGAAAATAGTAGGCATGGGACGAGATAGAATTTCCTTACAGGACAAGACTGAATCTACAAGAACGAGACAAGACAATTTTTTCAAAGTTTTTTTTTTTTTTTTATTAATTAATTAATTAATTTTTTGTTTTGTTTTTTGTATGTAGGTGTTTGTGTGAGTTGGCCCTCCTGCTCCCGTCCACTCCTCCTCATCAAGTCTTTGTGCGACTCGGTGCAGAGGAGCTCCTCTCTGTCCATCAACCGATATCATCTGGTTTAGTGCCTGCAGAAGACACTACACAGCGAGCGCAGAAAAGTGCTCAGCGTGCGTTTCCTCTTTAGGGGCACTACCATGTTTCGGTGGATGACCTCCAGAACTGTTGAGCTGAAGCCTCTCTGGGCCAGAGCAGCGTGCTTCATGTGGCATTTGTTTTTGCCCTTGCACAGCTCCTTGTAAATGGCTTTAGCCACGTCTTTATATCTGTTTGGATGCACCAAAACAGTCCATTCTGGCACCTGATCTTCCAGCTGTGCCAGTAGGTCCTGGGACAGACGGGACGGACACTGAGAGGGTGCAATTCTACCTCGAAGATCTTCGAGACGACCTCATAGACGAGCTTATTACAGTCGTCTCTACTCCACAGCCCGGGGAGGGGGCCCGGCTTTTCTGAGGGAGGTGCCCTGGGCACATCTGGAGCGGGCACTTGCACTTTACCCACTCTCTTTGTGGGCACCACACGCTCCAGAGGGGCCTCAGAAGGCTGAATATAGAGAGGCACTTCTGGAGTTAATCTATAGTCCTGGTTAGTGGACTGAGGAGGTAGAATGGGCCCATAGAGCTGCAGCTGGGGTTGAGGAGGGAGGCGGGCTTGTTCCTCATAACTGAGCTGAGGTCTTGATGTTGTCTGGCGGGGACTCGACATTCTGCAAACGAGTCTGCGAATCCGTCCCAGAGTCCTCTGGACCGGTTCGATCTGGTCAGGCAACTGGGTCTGCTCTTGCACCCAGTGCAAGATTTGATCCATAAAGACCAACACCTGGGGCCGGACACCCGCCCTAAACTTTTCCTGGCCTTTCGCTAAAGCCATGGCAGTCGTGATGTTATCTGTCAGGGTCTCGCTCAGCTTGAAGCTTCCCTGGGTGATGGATGGAGGCAAACTTTTGTATGCATCCTCCACCTCAGGGACCAGCTCCTTAAGGAGAGGAGAGACCTTTTCCATGACATTCCAGGGCGAACACCAGTGCAGGTGCACAGGCGTCTGAGTACGCCACGCAGAGCAGATTTTGCATAGCAGTACATAAAGAAACCCTTGATCTTGTCGCCCACTCCTTTAAGAGAGGGACTGCGGGTTTTGTAGATGCCATGGAGACTGGTTTGAGTCTCAGCCTCCATGTGTCTGAGCTCCTCTGTGATGGAGCTCACGATGGAGGAGGCTGTGTGGAGGCTCTCGTCACTCAGGCTCCTCTCCTCCTCTCCCCTGAGTACCACAGCCTCGGTCAACAGGATCTCCTTGACTTCTTCTGTGGCCTCTTGGATGCTGGGGCTGGAGACTCTTGGCAGTATAATCAACCTGCCTGAGGGGGAACCAGGAGTGAGGCTGTTAGATACAGAGGCTGGACTGGAGGTTTTCCTAAAGCCTCCAGAGCTGCACATGGGGGACAGTGTGACTGTGGGGGGACTAGCTCTGGGCTGCTCCTCTTCACGCTCTGCTCCATGCTGCTCAGAGCCTGTGCAAGGGAAACATCTCCTCAGTGTCTGTTTGAGGGTCTTGCACTGACTGCTGGGCTGGGCTTTCTCCTCTGTGCTCCACTCCACAACTTCAGGGGTCTCAGCTGTGGATCTGAGCCTTTGGGTGCTGCTGGGGGCTTTCTGGTCTACCTCCAGCTCTCCTCTCTCAGAATCTTCGTCCTGGGTCTCAGTCGATGTACAGTGTGACTTTGTTGGGAAACAGCCCCGAAAGCCCTGTCCTACGCTGTTTTTGAAATCACGCAAGATTTGTCAGGCATGGCGGACCAGATCCTTCATGCGCTCTTTGGTGGGTCTGTAGGTTGTCTCCTCGGGTACCACCAGGCGATCGTTCTGCACTTGGCTGCGGGCTAGAACAGAGTTGACATGATTGGTCACCTCTGCAATCAGAAAGAATGCTGACGGACTGGTGAGGTGCACCCAGCACTCCATTGAAACTATCAGTGAGGCTGACCTGCACTGCTGTCCCGACTGCCTGCTCAAATACCAGCAGGGGGTGCTCTTGCGTGCGTCCCTCTAAGACTATGTTCCTGAAGGCTTCCAAAATCAGGTTGGAGATGGTAGCAATCACCTCCAGGAACATCTCTGCCAGGACGTCCCTGGACTCGCGCTGGGCTAGAGCTGCAGCTCTGTAGAAGACTACCAGGGGCTGCACCTCTTCTGTGGGGATACAGGGGATAACCTCATTGAGACGAGAGTGGACGTTTCAGCTTTAGAGATTCTTTGAGAATGTGATGATGTCATAATTCCTATTGATGGTTTACAGATTCTAGAATGTGATGATGTCATCATTCCTTTTGATCACGTTTCATTTCGTCATGAAGTGAAACAAACAATAAACAACAAACAAAGAGTTTATAGTTTTTGGACGTGTAGCCAGTGACAATTTCCCCGTGGAGTCATGTGACCTGTGGTGACTGTTTGTTACATGACACCACAGATCACATGACATCACAGGTCACATGACATGGGTCATGTGACACCACGGGGAAGTGTAGCCAGCATTGTTTCTATGTTTGTTTGAATGTTTCTTTGTTTATTGTTTGTTTAGTTGGGGCTGTGCACTATGTACTCGTTTAAAACAATGTTTCTTCTGTTCTCTGTATCACTCATTTAAAAACACATAATGAATATTTAAGCTGAGTTCTTCTCTCAAACACCTTGTGATGTCATGTGGTAATACAGGAAATGCTCCACCATATTTTTAAACTAGAATCCTGATTTCAGCCCCTTGCCAGTGTCTACTGAACTAAAGGTAAGCTGTTAACTTAAAAACTACCAATTGATGACATCACAAGCTGGAACAGAGAATTTTGAGGTTCGGAGATGTAGGCCGAGGAATAATAAAGGGATACTCAAACAAATTAATGAAATGAAACAAAGGACAAGTCTAGGTATGTTTTGATGTACCAGCATTCTGACATCATTCTGAGAAAAACAGAGAGAGCATGTGAAGAGATAAAGGTGAAAATATTGTGTATTGTGTACAACCATTATCATGTGCTGTTTCATCCCACTGCTGCAGTCATGACGAGAGCATATCAAACTTAATGCAGCAGCCCCCCCTGGCGCAAGAACAGTAGTACTACACTTTCCATTACTGACAAATGCATATGACAGAAAACACATTTCTCTAAAACATAGTTAACATGATTCCATTGACGGTTTGATCTAATTTTCCCTAGTATTTTAGTTTAGTTTAGTTCATAATATCTCTTCCTGGTCTAATATGTGCATCAGATGTAACACCCAAAGAATTATTTCAAACTGCTACCTGGTGATTAATAAAAATAGATAACAGCAGATTTGTTTTGTTAAAATGAAAAACTTCATTACACACAATGTCCCTGGACTGTATTTTCCTGCCACATTTTTATTTATTTATTTTCCTCACAAACCACCACTTAACTGCTGTAAACCTATATTCCCCCATACCAAGTCAAATTAGAAAAAAAAGTAAAGCTGTTACACCAGAGGAAGAAAATGCAGTGTGTCTACATTATGTGCATCAAATTAATGATAAGTCATAATAATTTTCTGTGTTATTTGATTTGAAATATTTGAATCAAAGTTATTTATATATGGGATATTGCTGTGCTTTCACTAATGTAAATGATCATATCTTGGTGTTTTGTGGAGCAGCTTGTGTATATTGTCAGGAATATAGAAATGTCCCAGAAAAAACACTGCTCCGTGTTATCAGCAACTGAAACTACAGAGCGAAGAGAGGGAGGCTTAGGAGAGGCTTTCTGCTGTGTGTCCAGAGCTCAGCTGGCGCCCCCTGGACACTGTTGTGATGCTGCAGGACACAGAGGATGGACGCTTTTGTCCTGAGGGCTTTTACTCTCCTCAAACTGCCCTGACACAGGATCTGATTGTGACCGGGTGATTACTACAAGGCCATACTTGCAGTATTTCCAATTTATTCTGATAACATAACTTTAAATTATGTCCAACAATGCCCCTCCATATTTGGAGAACTCATGATTTTGACAGTGCACATAGATTAGTTAAGTGAAACAGACAGGTGAGGTTCCATATATTAAATGACCTTATTTTTGACAAGTTTTGTTACAAATCTTCAGAAGACACGATTTTCACAGTGGCTGTCCTAAAACTACTTAATGTTAAAAACTGAATCATCATGGTTACGTAAACAGTATCAAGTAGTTTTATAATAATATCCACTGACAAAACAGTTTAGAAACTAAGTTTGAGCTGTGTGTGCCCTCTGCTCCTCCTCTTTCTCCTCTGCTCCTCCTCCTCTTCCTCTCTCCAGCTCTCTTTCTCCTCTGCCCATCTTATCTCCATGAGGAGCTGATCTCAGGAACAGCCTCCCTCCTGACCTCCACAACACTGACTTCCACACTTTAAACCCAAACTCCATACACACGTGTTCATACAGGTCCATTCACCCACCACATCTGAGCGTAGCTGCACTTTATTGCTTTCAACTGTATGTTTTTACTGTATGTTCAGCTTTGCTCTATATTAATGCTTTTGTATTTGTTTATTGTTGTAAGTTGACTATGAGTGTCTAGAAAGGTGCCTGATTACAAGAAAGGCCTCCCATGGAAAGGACGGTCCTCTGCCGCCCCCTGCTGTACATGTTCACAATCCACACAACTGGAGGTAAAGGAGTTCATTTGGAAGAGGTTAAAGAGAAATGAGTGAGGCATGAAAACATGTGGTTTCCTCTGGTTTAATCATGAATAAAGCACAAAACAGTCATCAGGTTTATCACACAAATAAGCAAAATAAAACACAGCATTCACAGTATTCTACTGTTAGTACATGTAACATTAAATCTGCCTACAGAGCTGAGAATGAGTGGGACATGGAGACAGGGATTTTGGGTCCAAATGACATGACATTCTAAAGAGCCTAAAGAGTTTCAAATTTGAGATGGAGGGCAGTCAGAAATCTGTGGTGCAATTTGTTCTTTCTTCATATTGCTTACACTCTGACCTGGTTTATGGTTATTTTATTTTTTCTGCAATAACTATCTGACTATTTGAATATTTCTTTAGAAACATGTAGATCCTTTCCTTCCATTTCAAATGCTGACAGTATAAGGTGAACCCAGACTAACAGAGACACAGGGTTACTGACAGGGCTGTTAAGGGCAGGACCCACAGGACCTGGTGGAGCTTCAGGCTTTGCTCTTTTCAGACTCCGCCTCCGCACTCTCCGCTGCCCCTCCGAAACGCCGGCCCAGTTCTGACGTCAGCACAGAGCAGCATGACCTCTGTGCACAAAACAGGGTTAGAACAACATTGTGAATATTGTAAACGTGTTTAAGTAATATATTGAATTATACATAAATGCTAAGAGTAATTATCACATAATAAACTTTGTGGCTACTTTGAATCAGTCTGTACGGAGTTCTTTATCTTAAAGGCATTGTACCTGTTTTTAGGTGTTTTTCACATCTTAAAAGTATGGAAAAGAGAATAAGTTCATCTTAAACAGTTGCAGTGGTCCAAAGTTATTCCTCATTCATCTCATCAATTCAGAGCATCTTAATTATTCACCATGATGAGTTTATAAGCACTTTCCAAAACTCTCAGAGATCAGAGCTAAAATCAACTAGCATGCTAACAGTACATAAAATAGTATTGCTATTCATCTCATCTGCAGCCTTATAATTGAATGTAATGGTGCATTTATACATCAAAACTTGGACGAGGCCTGTAACACATTTACGTTATGGTGACAGGCATACAGAGATGTACTGCGATACACGATCATCCTGAAACTACTTTATGTTACTGATACAATAACAATCACTGTTGGGCAAGTTACTTTAAAACTGTAATGTGTTATTTATTACTGTCATTTCAAAGTAATTTGTTACATTACAATATTATTGCATTTAAAATGTAAGGCATTACATTACTATTGCATTACTTTAAGTTACTCTCACCAAAATAACTGCGAAGATGCTGAACTTTTGCGCCGGATATGTACTGAACCAGGACTAAACCAGGACAAAACCAGGACTAAACCAGAGCTGAACCAAGACTGAACCAGGACTATAACAGGACTAACCTCGGACGATACAGTGTTTGTTGTGACAGCTAAAAATGGGATTGAACTCAGAACCAAGGACTAAACTAGTACAAAACCAGGACAGTGTGAGTGCATCAGGTGAGACTTGGTTTAGCTCTCCTCACCTTGTCGTCCTTGGCCTGGCGGTGAGCTTTAGTCAGAAGCTCCAGCAGAGCCAGCAAGACCCCTAGGCCCAGCCCCAGCCCCAGCACAAAGAGTCCCCTCAGGTCATGTGCTTCTAGGGAGCCTCCCTCCTGGTCCTCCATGCAGCTCCGCGCCCACCACTTGTTCCTCAGGTAAGCCAGCGTCCCAGACTCACTCAGCTCCAAGATGGCAATGGACAGGTTCTTCATCAGAGGGAATCCTGGTACAGGAAGGTGAGGATTACATTTTTTTTTCTAAAAACTCTCCAAAAGCACTTTGAAAAGTCCTTTTTAACATGTTAAAATGTTTCTTTACTAGAAATGCTTTTGCTCATATATGTTTGATAGAGCTCATTTCTGTCAACTGTAATGTTTAGCATGAATGATTCATTTACAGGTGTATTTATTGTTCATCTGACCTGTAACTTGCCTGAGTGGCATTCCCTGCTTGCCTTTATGAAGTTAGATATGTTTATGCTGCTGTTGAGATAAGGATCATCTCCATTGAAAAAAGCATATTGCTGGTTCTCCCTAAATGACATAAAATGGATTCTTATGTTCTAATAACCTCATCAACCTCATTTGTTTTATTCACACATGTTTGAGTTATTCTTTATTATTACTCTGTCTAGATCTCCAAAGCTCAAATTGCTCTGTTCCACATTGTTATGTCATGATGAAGTAGTTTTTAAGTTAAAACTACCTTTAACCTTTAGTTCAGTAGAGATTGGCAATTCCTGGGCTAAAATCATCCAGATGATAGTGAAGGTGTATGAAGTTTAAAAACACAGTGGAGTACTTTTTGTTTTCCACATGACATCACAAGGTGAAATACAGTGTTTTCAGTTTGAGAGAAGAACTCAGCTTAAAGCTGCAGGATTTGTGGTTAAATAGGTGTGGGTATGTTTCGGTATGTTTTGATCAGGAAACAACATTATAATAGATTTAAAAATAGTATAAAAATGCAATTTCATATGGTAGATTGGTCAATGGTCACCCATAGTCAATGGGTGTCACCTCTGGGTGCTGCAATGCTGTATGCCCTCTCAGACACTACCTCCTCAGAGCGAGTGAGGGAGCAGTACCGGGCCACCGCCAGGTCCAGGGACACGGCCTCTCCAATGAATGCAAAGTTCCCCTCCTGAGCCCGCCGCATCCCCTCCCCCATGTTTGCCACAAAGCTCCGCCTCTTCTCCATCTGCTCGTACATGCGCTGGTACAGGGCGATCTTGGACGTCTGTGCATTCAGACAAACGGATTATTAGAATTAGAATAGAATAATGACTAGTCAAAAGTAAGAACACAACACACAAGTTTACTACTTTCTACCTTTTATATATACACACACAGAAGACATCAAATATGTGATGCGAGATGTATGGAATCATGCAGGAATAACTCCCGATCTTCTTGATGAACTCACCTGACGCAAACCAGGGCTGAAAGCAAAGGGTGGCTACTTTTTCAGAATCTAACATCTAAGACAGAGTTGAGTTATTTTGAGTGTATTTTTTATTTACTACATTCCATATGTCAGTCAAAGTTTTGATGTCTTCAGTGAGAATCTACAATGTAAATAATCATGGAGATAAAGAAGAAACATAAATGAAAAAGAATGTTCAAACATTTGACTGGTACAGTATGTCAGATAAACTTTTACATGTCATCTTTACCCTATTCAAAGCAGTATTTTTGGTTGATTCATGCATGTTTGAGTGATACTGTATTGTACTTCTTTTGAGTGCTCAGCAAATACCTACAGTCTATCTTCGCTCACTGCTCTGTACTTTTGATATATAAAAAAGAAAAAAAACTCTGAGCCCCAGTTCTAATACATGTCCTGTTCAAACCTCCAGGTCAAAGCCAGATCTTTCAGATCTCAAAAGCTAAAGCCTGGTTAGTACTGGGCTGGGAGACCACTGGGAAAATCAGGTACCAGAGTGGGGCACCAGTGGCAAAACTTTCATGATTATTGTGTCTGTGGGCAAGACACTTCACCCACCTTGCCTAGTATGAATATGGAATGTGAGTGTTGGTGGTGGTCAGAGGGTCCAGACAGAAGCCTTTTTCTGTCTGCCCCAGGGCAGCTGTGGCTACAATAGTAGTTTACCACCACCGAGTTTGGAGGGAATGAGTCTCGTGTAATGTCATGCACCCAGTTGACTTTGACCAACATGCAGTAAATTGACCTGTTTCTCTGATAAATGATATTATAGAAAATAGACTCTTATCTCTTAAGACGTGTCAGAATGTCAGTACCTCCTCAAAAACATACCTGGAGTTGTGTTTTGTTTCACTGACACATGTTTGAGTAACCATTTAGTACAGGTGGGAAATTAAAGAGTTGAAATTATCCAAATGATTCTAGTAAAGGTCTCTGGAATTTAAAAACATAGTGGAGCATTTCCTGCTTTGCCACATGACATCACAACAGAGTGTTTTCTGTTTGGGAGAAGAACTCAGCCTGGATTTGCAGGATTTATGTGTTTACTGTTAAACATGTGAGAATTAATTAAATTTAAGTATTTATTTTGCACATATGAAATATATAACATTGATTCAAACATGGATTAAAACACAATGAAACATCTCACAACAAAATGATTATCAAACATTATCATGAAATATCAAACATTTCCTCAAACTCTTTTTAAACAATGTTTCTGATGCCGTCACTAACCAGATGTGAAAACTGCTCCAGAATTTCCTGCCTCTGTATCATAGACAAAACTGAGCTTCTGATGTGACACATTTTGGAACATGAAAATTACAATTACAAGTTTTGTATCTATGAATCTCCGCATTGGTTTTCAAGTAAAATGTGAAATGATTAGGGATCATAGTTGTATTATAAAGAATTTTATACATAAAAATACAAAATTGATATATATGAATCTCATAAATATTAAGCATGTTAAGTTTGGTGAATAAATGAACAGACGATGTTAGTGGTATAGAATGAGTTGCAATTCGAACAAAACATTTTTGCACCAATAATATTTAGTTCAGAGTAGAGAAAGTGCAGCCCAGATGATATTACAGTACGACAGATAGGGATTAATTAAACTATAGTATATGGTAAGCAGAGATTCTGAGTCCAGAATTTTACAAACTTTTTTTTATAATACCAAGAGATTTGTTAATTTTTCTGGTCACCCAGTCAGCTGCTCTTTCCAGTTTAGATCATCATCAACAATGATGTGCAGGAATTTGGTGGATGAGACACGAGTTATTTCAGTTGAATCAATTTTGATTTTAGGGTTAGTTGGAATTTTTTATTTTTTTATTTTTTTTTGCCACAAAAAAATCATACAATTAGTTTTCTGATATTAATTTGTTCATTTTGAACTATTTGTCATAAGCAGATAATGCAGCATTAGTTTGGTTTGTTAGAACATTCAAGTTTGAATTGGATATAAATAAAGTCATATCACCAGCAAACACTACTGGGGTAAGATCTTAAGATATATAACATAAGATGTACAATAAAAATAATAAAGGAACTAACATGGAGCCCTGAGGAACTCCACACTGTAAATCAGCTTTATCAGAATTGCAACCATTAATATAATTAATTGCAAATATCATTCTGTAGTCACTTAAAAACTGTTTTATGAAAACCATATTTATATAACTTTGCAAGTAGAATTGAATTGTATGATTGACTGTATCAAAAGCTTTTGACAAGTCAAAAAAACAAAAAACTAAACAAAAACAAAAACAAAACACTGTAAGTAAACTGATTGTTGTCTTAATGTTATCTCATCTAATAATTAAACTAAAGACATGTAAGTACTGTGATTTTTATAAAAGCCATATTGATACTTATAAAGAACGGAATTATTATTTATATGAGAAAATAACCTTTTACAAATAACTTTTTCTAATGCACCAGCGATTTTACTTATTTCATTGAAGCTGAAAGGACAGCATTTGAGGACAGCTGGATGTAATGTCCAATGGATCTTCATAAGAGGCTGAAATATTTTTAACTAATTTTAAACCAGAATTAACAAAAAAATGTGTTAAATTTCTGTGCTATCTTAGCAGAAGTTTCATACATAGTTGCACCATCCACAAATACTGAAGGTACAGTTTGTGAATCTCACATCCTTTTGTAGTAGTTGGTTGATAACTTTCCAAGTACCTTTAATATTATTCCAGGTCTGGTTTATTTGGCTAAAGTAGTACTTCTTTCTTGCAGACCGTGAATAGAATGGACATAGTTGTTTCTGTATTCTGTATGAAAAGTAAGAGGGGTTGGATTGGATACATCATTTTTATAAAGTTTGTTTTTCTTCCTAAAGATTCTCAGCAAATCCAGTGTAAAACAAGCAAGTCTTTCGCTTTGATTTTCTGTAATTTTTTAGATGGAAATGGATGGAATCACAAAAATGTATTTTGATTTGCTTGCATGAAATGTTTGTATGCATCATTCACATTGAACTTTTCTATAATAAGTTTGCTCATATTCTTCTTTGAAATATTTTTTCTTTTCATAATGAATACTTTTTACCTTAAGTGAGCAGTATTGGAATTTAGGAAAGTGATCTGGCAAGTCTGAGTAAATAATCCCAGATTTATTTTCATGATTTAAATGGTTTGTAATTATATTGTCAATCAAGGTTGAATTCCTATTACTCACTTTTGTTGGTTTGTTAATTAATGGGAAAAATGACTTGAGAAAAGAGTATTTATAAAATGAATCAGTATATGAAACTGTTTTGTCTTTCAAAATATTTATATTGAAATCTCCTAAAATATAGCAAAGCTTGTTTTCAGAATTTAGTGAGTCCAACTTTCAATAAAATCTTTAAAGCTAAAATCTGGTGGACGGTAAATAACTCCAACAATTCAATTTTTTCCCTCACAACCAGAAAGCTCCACAAACAGTGACTCTATTTCCCCTTTATCAGAAGTAAGCCTGAGGTCATTCCTTAGTTTGAATTCATAATTGTTCTGAATGAAGAGAGAGACACTGCCCCTTACTCTATTATTTCTTACAAAATGACATGATTGATAATTAGTCAACTTAAAAAGATCACATGTGTCTTTGGTGAGCCATGTTTGTGATAAGGCAATAACAGAACGAAACAAAACACAACTCCAGACATGTTTTTGAGGCCACAGATCAGAAATGAGAGAGTAATATGGCCCTTTAAGATGTTTTATATCCATATTGTGGTTTACAATGAATAAAATGTAAAATATGATCTATATATATGTAGTTTAGTACCTTGAAGAACTGTGAGGTGGAGCCCCCCTCCACAGCCCCATACTCAATCACGTCCTGATTGGCCAGATCGCTGAAAGTCCTGATGGACGCGTGCTTTTTGTCCGTGTGGATCATGGCGTAGAAATTGGCAAAATAACAGGCTAGGAGCAGTACCGCGAACAGCCACCAGACGGCAGTGATCACACGTCCAGCCACAGCTTTAGGGTGAGGGCCAGCGCCTGAAGAGGGCAGCAAAGACACAGGGGCATACTTAAAAGGTGGTATTTTACTTGTATGGGGTATTAATATATTACATATTTAGGTCATCATGTTACCTTTTATTGTTTTGAAAATGCTATATTTGCCAAAAACAAAGTATAAACATGTTTTTATAAGTTTTGTTTTTGACACTCTTTATCACTGTACAATCAGAGTGCATTCCACTAACCAAAGTACTGCACATCGCATCAGGTTTGTCAAGTTGTGTACAGTTATATACAGTGTTGGGGAGTAACAGATTACATGTACCGGAGTTAAGTAATCAGAGTACAAATTATGAGTAACTGTATTCAGTTACAGTTACTGTTTCAGTGAGTTACTTTGTTGAAATAAGTGGATTACACAGCGGTATTTTTTATTTTTTTTTCCGTAATTCCACTCATTGCCGGACACTATACCAGGTCTAAACCAAGACTAAAACCAGGTCTAAACTAGGTCTAAACCAGGACTAAACCAGGTCTAAACCAGATCTAAAACCAGGTCTAAAATCGGTCTAAAACCAGGACTAAACCAGGACTAAACCAGGACTAAACCAGGTCTAAAGCAGGTCTAAAACCAGGTCTAAAACCAGGTCTAAAACCAGGTCTAAACTAGGACTAAACCAGGTCTAAACCAGGTCTAAAATCAGGTCTAAAACCAGATCTAAACCAGGACTAAAACAGGATTTAACAGGACTAAACCATGCTTCATGGACCGTGTCTCCTCCTCTTCTATCAATAATATTTTTTTAATTTGGTTAAGTAAAGACTTGGCCTTTTTATTTTCTTTTAGCAGATAAAACATTTCATGTGAAGATTTCCTCGTCTTTGCTTCTCTACAGCAAATCAAGTAATCCAAAGTATTCAGATTACATTACTCACTTTAAGTAATTTAATGGATTACATTACAAACTACATTTTGGGCTATGTAATCTGTAATCTGTAGGGGAATACATTTTAAAAGTTACCTTCCCAACACTGATTATGTATGATGTTTTTGGATATTTATGAAGAATCGTGTGGGAACATGGGTGATGTAGGCTCGAAGGAGGAGCACTGCACAGCATTTTACCTGTGAGCAGAGTTTGAACAGGGCCCGGGAGAGACTGCTTAGTCCTAAAACATGCATGGATGAAATCTAAAACCTCTTCTGACATGTTTTTAATGAGGCAACAACGTTATACAGTGGAAATAAGTATTTGATCCTTTGCTGATTTTGTAGGTTTGATCACTGACAAAGAAATGAACAGTCTGTAATTTTAATAATACATTTAGTTATTATAATATTGCAAATAAATAGCATTTCTTTTTGACAAATGGAAAGCTGTTTAGCTGACTGTGTCTTACCCTGCAGAGTGAGCGCTCCGGTGATGTACCAGAAACTGTGCAGCAGAGTGAAGGTCGTCTGCTCCTTATCCGGCTCTGCCCACTCAGACGGGCTCATCCTGAAAACAGAACTTATCATTATCATCAGTTTAAATTATGTATAAAAGCTGCTGACTGTAGTTTAGACCACTACAATCATGTTTAATTCATTTAACAATTCATATTTCAGTCTTTAGTTTGTCAAAACAGAATCCTACTAGTGAAGATAGATCATGTACCTGGTTTAAAAATGAATTACAATTACAACTGAATCTGCACTGTCAAAGCCTTAAAGTGCCCATGAAAAGTCGAACAGCTCATTGTACTAAAACACACTTCATACACAGATCATTGTATTTAAGATGTTGCTAAAAACAAACAAACAAACAAATAAACATAACTTCTACACAGAGATTACTATTTGACACATACAAATATAAGAACAATGTTTATGTTTATGTTTATTTATTAATATATTTATTCTATTCTGTCAAGTGAACAGAACTGAATTTATTTATTATTTTTGAGAGATGTTCACAGCTCCTCCAAGCAGCTTTTTCAGCTCCTCAGAAGCCGGATGAGCATGATCCATGTCCTCCCTTTCCAAAACTTGGCCGGATGACCCTTAGTCCAGTCGTAGTTTCGTCCTAGTTTAGATTTTTTGTTGGTTAAATCATCATTTTATTAAGTCCTGTGGGGCTACTGCTGCTGTGATTTTGGATTATATAAAAATACTTTTAACCTGTTACCATCCACCTAATTTTGCATGTGCACAATAGCACTACATACCCAAGTGCCATAGCTTATTAAAAGAAAACCTTAGAACCCACATGCTTGTGTGAGGCACCATTTTAAAGCTTAGGCCTTCTAGTTTCTGTAGATATGCATATGAAGACTGTGAGTGCTGCCTAACCTACAGTACAGTCAATTAAAAATTTTATTTTTTTGCTTCGAAAAAACAATAGAAAAAAATAAAGGCCTTAGCTTGGGCATACTTCATGCTAGGCATTTGTGACTCACTACACTCATTGTTCAAGTTGTTGGCAACAACTGTGTAGAATTTCAGATCTCTAGGACAAAGGGTTTTGATGCTGTGAGCCTTTGTGTATACAAAATGACAATTCGGCACAAGATTGCCAAATTTGTGCCAAAATAATAATAATATAATAATAATAATAATTGTTATTATTATAATACTAATTCTTCTGAGCTTCTGAGAAAAAAACCTAAAAGTAGCCAAAATTGTCCTCCAAGCGCCAGATCTGCGCTCCATGGCCCCTCCCGCTCTGCTCTCTGTGTCCCTCTCTGTTACGCTTATAAACACCGCGCCCCTTTCAAAGACTACTGCATGTCCCACCCACCGTTTGAAAGCTCTGGTGATAGGCTAAAACAATATGTCAATCACTTTCTGGAAGATCCAATGACTGAAGAGATTTCCCGTAAACAAACTGATGACGCGTGCGTAAAGCCAGGAAGTACATGGGTGCCTTAGCTTCTTCAGCGGCTTGTCCCACCTAAACCCCGCCACCGACAACAGCGGGGAGGGTCTCATTTTGAAGCTAAGAGTGTGAGGAAAACAAGCGTACCCAAGAGCGGGAGAGAAAGGGAACTCAGAGAGGGAGAAGGCTCGGAAAGGCAACATATCTTTTTACTCACGCATTCATCCATTCATACGGACGAGGATTTTCTGGATTATTTACCCACATGGAATTATTTTATGGAAAAAACAACTTGATATTCTTTTTCTGTGGATTATTACGGACTTATTGAGTACAACTTTTCATGGATTGAACGCGTTTTGGACCGACAGAACCGGCTCAAAGTTAAGAACGCGTATCTTATTCTTTGATTATGATGTGAATTTTTAAGTTATCACGTTTTGGGCTCGTTGTACGGCATAAAATGAATGATATGGTTGTTTTATTGAGAAATTAAGCTTTCAAACGATGTATGGCATGCCAGTAGTGAAAACAATAATGAAGGTGAATATACAGAGTGAACATTTTTTATTGGAAAATCGCCCGCCGGCGGGCGGGTGGATGGTAAGTTTAATTGTATGATGTATGATGCTTAAAGGGCCCATATTACATTATTCACCGATCTATGTTATAATATTGTTTCCTCATCAAAAACATACCTGGAGTTGTATATGTGTGTGTGTGTGTTTTATTTATTTATTTTATTCACACACACAAACCCTGCAAATTTGGGGTAAGTTTATGTCTCAAATACAATGCACTCTGTTCCACCTTGATGTCAGATGTACAGAGCTCTACTGTATTCTCCATACACCTTCACTACAGTCATTTGGATGATTTCAGCTCTGTAATTTCCAGTCTCTACTGAACTGGTGTTAACTTGCTGTTATTTGAAAACCTCCACTTCATGAGACGGAACAGAGAACAGAACAGAGAACAGAGCAGAACAGAGCGTTTTGAGCATTGGAGGGGATTTCTCAACCATGTGTGAATGAAACGAAACACAACTCCAGGTTTGTTTTTGAGGAGTGAACAACATGTCAACATGTATAACATGTCTTACATGTCACAAGAATCAGTTTTGTGTAATATCAGACTTCAAATCTACACCACAGTTCTGCCCTACATATGCAAAAGAGCTTAACTCTGAGTGTGAAACTGAGAAAAAAGATTTTAAAGTTTCTATTTTGTCCAGACAAAAGTATAATAGGTAGGGCAGCCAAAATTTCACAACGAGCTGCTATAATGAAGAAATATTTGTATGTGAAAAATATTGAGCTCAAATTTGACCTTTGACCCTTATTTGTCAGTTCCTGCTCTCTGCTTTTGTATCGTGAGCCAAAAATAAGAACTTGTGCAAAGACAAAATGCAGAAAATGACATGGTCATTATTTGCTTGATTTTCTCCAGACTTTCATCCGTTCTAAGAAAAATACGTCACCAAGCTCCAGTCATCATGTGTTTGTTTGAAATGATCTAGAAGAGTTTTGGATTTCCTGTTTAGTGTTGATCAGGATCATGCAGCGTCACTTCCACAGTGAAACAGTTTGACACAAGTGACTTTGCAGTACAGTATGAGTAAATACACAAAATACTTTCACATTAAAGATAATAAATATAATTGAATATAAAGGTGTATTTACTGAATGTGTTCAGACCCTGTGCCAAGGCCACAACAAAAAGAAGGAGGCAAGAGGTTGGATTTTAAAAGAAAATATAACTGAACTAAATCACAAACAAAACATACACTGTTACTGTCTTTTGTCTTTGCACGATTGTCTTTGGTTCATGATACAAAGGCAAGGAACAGGAACTGGCAAATAAGGGTCAAAGGTCAATTTTGAGCTCAATATTTTCCACTATATTTATTCACACGATAAAGGAGGTCTCAAATACAAACAAAATGACATTGCCTTTGTAGGGCAGAATTGTAATCAGTAAAAGCAATATTTGATTCATATCAGGGAACATATATCTTTTTTAAGACCTCTACATGAGCAGCTGTCTTTAAATTATACAATACAAATCAAATCTCTTTTGTTTTGTTTGTCAGAAAACACATTTCTATCTTTGCCCAACATCATACAGCCCTACCATGCATGTCCCAGCTAGCTTGGGACTCACCTACAGACGAGAAAGATGGAGAGTCCAGTGAGGAGGAAGGCGATGAGCAGCCCCACCCACATGTCGGCGGAGAAGGGTGCCAGCAGGCTGAGCGCACTCTCGTGGGTCACCAGATCTTTGTTGAGGATGAAGCCCAGGCCAGTCTGGAGGAACGGGGTGCTCATGTCCACGTGCCTCTCCCGCACTGACGTGAGGGTGAGGGGGGCCACCGCCAGGTCTGCCTCCTGAAGGACAATGTTAAATGCATCATGGATGGACATATGACAGGTCAGCTCAATAGGGCTGTTACTGAGTAAAGAAATTCTTGATCAACTAAATGTCCTGCAGAACAATTAGTGGATTAAAAAGCACTGAAACTATTATGTATCTGTGTATCTGACCCAAACTGCACTCACAAGACTACACCTGCAAAAGACATGCATGCAAAAACTACAATTTGTGCAGAAAAGGTACTAGGAAGCAATGTATTTATAAAGACAGATATAATATAATATATACAAGGCGAAACATCGTCACTCTAAAACTTCTGTCCAGTGACAGAATTGAAATTCATTCTTCTGCCCTGATGCCAAAACACTGATGAATCCTTCTAAAAAGGTGAACAACTGTAGAACTCTACCTTCAAATAATACAACGCTGGAAATGTGATCAAACTCTAACTATCACAGCATGACTGGTAATGATTTAAGATTTAAAATAGCTCACTGGGTATAGCCCGACATTGAAATATATGAAGTATTTCATTAGTGGTTAAGATGAAGATTAGAGGAGACAGGCACTGGGGGAGTGGAGGAAGTGGATCAGACCAGAGCATTGTGTGTGTGCTTTACAGGAGCACCAAGAATCAGGGTCCTTGATGTCATGTTTCTATAGTTGCAGGATTAGTATGTTTCATCTGAGTGTGTCTCTGGGCAGCATGTGTCTGTGAAACAGTTTATGAAATGTGCTGTGTTGTGTTTGAACGCACCCCTCGGATAACCTCTCCGATCATGCCACTCCACTGGCCGCTTTGGTCTATGGCCCCATAGCGCCCATCCTTCACCAGGTGGACCTTGTATGTGAAGCCCACCCGTTTGGCCAGCTCGGTCAGCAGGTCGATGCAGTAGCCCTCCAGCTCACTGCCGTGACTCATGGCATATGGCTCTTCCTGCAAAACAGACAGGACAACTGTTTAAACTCAATGGTTTCCCAAACTTTTTTTTCTGGAGACCCACAAACCTTTGCGACCCAACTCATTAGACATTATCTGTAAATCTCAAAATAAAGGTGGATTTGACCATTACTGAACATTAATGAGGATATTTTATTGTTGACTGACTGTGTCTCTGAACAATTAATAATGCATCAGACACTCAAAGACACTTTACAGAGCATTATTCCTTCACTCCATACCCGGTGGTGACAAGCTACTACTGTAGCCACAGTTGCCTGGGGCAGACTGACAGTAGCGAGGCTGCCAATCTGCGCCACTGGCCCCTCCGACCACCACCATCATTCACACACACACCACTTTCCTACTAGGCAATGAGGGTGAAGTGTCTTGCCTAAGGACACAATTAGTATTACTCAAGTTTTAACAATGAAAAACAGTCATTGAAGCAGCAATAAAATGGATCCATAAGTCAGTTATTTGGAAATTAAATGTAGCCAATTTCTTTTTTTTTTTTTTCATCAGCAACATTGGAACAAAATAGTCAATAAAAGAATTACAAAAAGATTAAAAATTATACAAAACATGTCTTAACATTTCTAAATCAGATAGGTGGGCCTGTCTGTGTTTTTGTAGCGTGTTCCAGTCCGGGTGCAGGAGGAGAGCACAACATGTACGTCAGTGTCAGAACTGTAAACTGCAGACTGACATGCAGATAGTGACAAGGCGACCCCCAAAAAAATCTCTTGCAATACACCTGAGGGTCGCGACCCAGTCTTTGGGAAACAATGTTTTATGCGGTTTGTGGGAGGCTGGACTTTTACTGAGCAACCAGCAGGTGGTGCCAGAACGTCTTGACTCTTCAATGAAAGAGGAACGTGTGAGTTAAGTTCATGTGCCCTGTGGCTGGTCAGCTATAGTTGTTTTATATTGTTAATTATCCATACCATTCGATGGGTCTTACGTTTTATCAAAGTACATACACATAGTGTCTGTATGAAGTAACTAAGGATATCTGCTGCTACTGCACTTTGAACCACTCACACAATACTGAATATCATTATATCATTATCACACTCACACACAGTAGGAAGCTTTGGTGACATGTCACCTCATGAGTCCATGTAAACATGAGCATAGAACTAAAACCAAACTTTGCAATATTCTCCATTGCGATAGATACATTTTATGCCATACTGTGGAGGATTGAAGCCATAAAAGCAATATTTCCACGGAAATGTTTCCGGAATTCCAGAAGAGGCCCTCCTCCAGGTCAAAAATGGTGCTTTCTCAACTGGTTCGCCTGTATTCAGCCTCACATCACACTGTGTTTCGTTTTATGTTTGTGATGTGTGCGAGTGCGTGTGTGCGTGTTTGGGTCGTCTGGTTGTGTGGGGTCAGGCAGGTGTGGGTATTGGGTTGGTGGGTGGATGGAAATGTGGGATTGTTTTTAATCACTGTAAAGCACTTTGTGTTACAGTTTTGTATGAAAAGCGCTTTATTAATAAAGTTTGATTGATTGATTGAAAAAAGAGTCAGGTGTGTGGAGATGCTCACACACTTAGAATGTTTTTCAGCACAGTAAAATCAACTTCACACTAATGCTAATGTTTTCAGTGGGAGAGGAATCTACTTCTCTTTGCTTTTCATATGGAAAATCTGGAACAACTGCATGTAACTTTATGAAAGTGCAATAAAATCAACTCAGTCAAAAAACATGTTCTGAGGGAGTCTATGGAGTAGAGTCTATAAAATTCAAATTGGTTTTGGAGGCTGTGATTGGAGAGAAACTGGAGAGACATTTAAGTCAGTGTTGTGGCTGTGTGTGTGAATGTCCCAGTGCAGAGGAGAGTACCTTTATGGTGGTGATGGATAGCTCCTTGACATCTGAAAGAGAAAAACAAAGCAGTGCTTAAATCTGGATTGTAATAAAGTATGTCAGCATAATGAAGCGTGACAGTCAGGGGGATTAGACCAGGTCCAGCCCAGGACTAGCCTTTATCGAGGAGCTCGCTGTAAATAAGCCACAGCCGCACAAAGAGCCGCTTGTTGTGCTTGTTTTTGGGGAGAGGGACCCGGGTTCTTTCAGGCCCCGTGGGGTGATCAAAGGGGCCCCTCCTTCAGGATGTTTTCCAGCTTTGTTTGTTAAGGATCAGAGCTGTGATGGATCCCACAGCCCCACAGCTCCTGACTCTGAGAGGAGGGCCATTGTTTGCAGCTGGGACCAGTCATGTTCCCAGGGGCTCCAGAGAATGCCAGGACTGCTCCCACCAGGTCTAGACCCGGTCCAAAACCGGTTCAGACCCAGTGCCCGGCTGCTCCAGACCCAGCTGAAAGATCTGAATGGGCCACATGGAGGCTATGACAGTTCATGTCTAAGCCCAGCAGGACTTTGGCCCCTCTGCTGGTGAGAACGGCCCCAGGGTCCTCAGAGGGCTCTCTGAGGACTCCAGAGATGAGGCTGCCAACATGAAGGAGTCAAGAGAGAGAGACGTGACCCTGGCTGTGGTCAGCCAAACTAATGCTGTGGTCAGCCAAACACTGCAGGCTCTCCAACTGCCCAGTGCACACTCACACCAGTCTACTTGTGCAGGGGCATTCTCAAACCAAACATTTTTTTCTTTTTTGTTATTTCTTTTGTTCATCTTCTACTGTTGAGTGGATGTGAACAAGAAGGGATAAAGATAATTTGCACTAAAATAGTTTTGGCATTGAGAGCACTGCTACACAAAGAGTCCAATGAAAGTCTGGGAGGATGTTTTAAAAAGGGGAGTTATTATGTAAAATCATGACGTCACTCAAAGTCTTGATTGAGTCATACATGTTTTAGTAATCCTGGATATAAATAAGTTGTTTACTGTGAAATGCAACAAAGAAGAGACTGAGTCTATCAGTTCTGAACAGCAAGTTAATGGACTAACTTCTATTATTATTATTTCTTTTAAAAAAAAAAGTAAAATAATTTTCACTAAATACCTGACATGTTTATAAAGCATTTCATAGATGTAGTTTTGCACTCTGCCCTCTCTGTTTGAGGTCACATGTATACATATATGCTATATATATATATATATATATATATATATATATATATATATATATATATATATATATATATATATATATATATATATATATATATATATATATATATATATATATATATATATATATATATATATATATATATATATATCATACAGGACTTAAGAGGAGAACAATAGCATTCAGACTGCACACACAAATATGCTTCAAGTCAGACAGGTTTAAAACAAGATACTGGAACTCATGAACCTCACATCACATTGTATATTTCAGAATTTCAGTGCTGTTTCATACTATGGAATGAATACCAATGATTTATACTTAATAATTAATGAATTCTGAATTAGAATTTTAGGATTTGGTATAAAGACTAGAAGAACATATTTTCTATTTTCTTTTTTTAATATTCTTATTTTCATTTTTTTTTTTTATTAGCAAATAGGGGGAAAAAAAGCCTTGAATTCAATCAAATATATAATTCTCATTCTAAAAATTGATTCAGAACAACAGTGTTATAGCCAAGGTGGTCCATTCCATGCTCACTCTCCACACTTAACCCACATTGTATGTTTCATACTGTCCTACCTAATATAACCTATAACCCACCCCACATATACACACTCTCAAAAATGAAATGGACATTTCAAATCTCAAACAAATGAGACTTTTCTCTCAAAACTGTGACCAGAGGTGGGTAAAAATTAGACAAACTAAATCATCTCTGATGGAGCTGCAAGAAACAAAAGTGTTCAAATCATTTCTTATTATCGCTTTTGTCACTTGTAAACTCACAATGGGAAGAGTAACCATTTTTTTTTTTTTTTTTTTTTACTTAAGTAGAATTACTTCAATAAATATAACTGTAGTGGGAGTAAAAGTCTGCTGCTTTTTTTTAAGTCACTTAAGTAAATATAAATGAGTCCCACCCACCTCTGGCTGTGACACTTACCTCCGCTGGCAGCCAAAGCGCACAGAGCGGCGAGCACCAGACCCATGCAGCTCCTCATTTTGTCCCAGCGGAGTGAGTGTCTGGGTAGTGGTCAGCGCGGGCTCCTGATCTTGTGCTGGTCAGTCTGGTCCTCTGGCTCTTCTGTGCTGGGGACTTCACAGCAGCTGCAGTGGACACAGGGGCCGACTGGGGAGGCTTCTGGGGACGGGGCCTTTATATGGGGGGCCGGGAGGAAAGGCAGCATGTGACTTTTGATCAAGCTATTTCATCATGATGATAGCTTGAATTTCAGTTTGAACTTTGTGTTACACAGTTTGTAGGGCGGCTCTATTTGTTAACAGTGAAGACAGCTTATACAATATAAAAGCCCATGTCTGATGTTGGGGTTTCGGCACATTACCTTCATTAAAGCTAACATGCCACGTGTTTTTGGCAATGGTTACGTAACATTGGGTGTGAGAGTTGGGGGTTTGGGGAGGGAGCAGATGTATGCAGAGGAGGGGATGTTTTGTTCCTGGCATGGAGTCACTCCTCACAGTCTGCTCTCAAAGATTATTTTAGGTCAAAAGACAAGAGAGAAATAAGACATGCTGTAATCATGATGTGAAGTTTGGGGTTATGAAATGAAAGTCATCATTTTAAAAGTACTGTAGTATGGTGTGCTGGACTAACTCCTAAGTTAATAAAGCTTATAATTCTTAAACTTAGGGACATTGTAGTGTTCATTCAAACTGATGTATTGCAGGCTGAGGACCTTATATGTAAATGAATTATAACTCAGAAACAAACAAAAAAAAGTGTTCTTGTCGCTCACAAATGAAACACACATCAGCATACTTTTTTAAATCTCAATGGAGAAATGAGAGTTTCAAATCTGTATTTTGCCCCATCCATCCATTTTCTTCCGCTAGTCCGGGGCCAGGTCGCGGGGGCAGCAGTCTAAGCAGGGACTCCCAGACTTCCTTCACCCCAAACACGTCCTCCAGCTCCTCCGGGGGGACCCCGAGGCGTTCCCAGGCCAGCCGAAAGACATAGTCCCTCCAGCGTGTCCTGGGTCTTCCCCGGGGCCTCCTCCCGGTGGAACATGCCCGGAACACCTCCCTAGGGAGGCGCCCAGGAGGCATCCGGAACAGATGCCCGAGCCACCTCAACTGGCTCCTCTCGACGTGGAGGAGCAGAGGTGTGACTGAGCTCCTCACCCTATCTCTAAGGGAGCGCCCAGCCACCCTGTGGAGGAAACTCACTTTGAGCGCTTGTATCTTGATCTCGTCCTTTCGGTCACTACCCAGAGCTCATGACCATAGGTGAGAGTAGGAACAAAGACTGACCGGTAAATCGAGAGCTTCGCCTTTCGACTCAGCTCCCTCTTCATCACAACAGTCTGATACAGCGACCACATCACTGCAGACGCTGCACCGATCCACCTGTCAATCTCACGCTTTGTCCTCCCCTCACTCGTGAACAAGACCCCGAGATACTTGAACTCCTCCACTTGAGGCAGGGACTCTCCACCCACTCAGAGAGAACAAGACACCTTTTTCCACTCAAGAACCATGGCCTCGGACTTGGACGAGCTGATTCTCATCCCAGCAGCTTCACACTCAGCTGCAAACCGCCCCAGTGCACATTGCAGGTCCTGGCCTGATGAAGCCAACAGGACAACATCATCTGCAAACCGCAGAGACAAGATCCGTGTGGTCCTCAAACCGGACCCCCTCCGGCCCCTGACTGCGCCTAGAAATTCTGTCCATACATACAATGAAGAGAACTGGTGACAAAGGGCAGCCCTGGCGGAGTCCAACATGCACCTGGAACAGTTCTTTCTGCTTGCAATGCAAACACAGCTCCTGCTCTGGTCATACAGGGACTGGACAGCCCTTAGCAAAGGGCCCGAACCCCATACTCCGGTTTGCCAGTCCAGAGGTACTATCCCCAACCACCATGAGATGTTGAAGAGGCATGTCAGCCAAGACGGCCCCACAACATCCAGAGACTTACGGTTCTCAGGACGGATCTCAGCCACCAAGGAGTTTGTCAACCACCTCAGTGACTTCAGCCAGGGTGATGGATGAGTCCTCCTCCGAGTCCCCAGTCTCGGCTTCCTCCTCGGAAGACGTGAAGGTGGGATTGAGGAGATCCTCAAAGTATTCCTTCCACCGCCGGACAATGTCCTCAGTCGAGGTCAACAGCTCTCCCCCTGCACTGTAAACAGTGTTGGTGAAGAACTGCTTCCCCCTCCTGGGGCCTGCGATACCCATCAGCTGCCTCAGGAGTCCCACGAGCCAACAAGCCTGATAGGACTCCTTCTTCAGCCTGACAGCATCCATTACTTCCTTTGTCCACCACCGAGTTCGGGGATTACCGCCGAGGCAGGCACCACAGACCTTATGCTCACAGCTCCGAGCAGCCGCATCGACAATAGAGTCCGAGAATGAAGCCCACTCGGACTCCATATCTCCAGCCTCACGGAATCTGGGAGAAGTCCTCCCAGAGGTGCGAGCTGAAAGTCCCTCTGACAGAGGGCTCTGGAAGGGCAGCCCCACGTCACTCCTTTGGGCTGTGCCCACCAGGTTCTCACCGTCGAGCACCCACCCCAGACCTGGCTCCAGGGCGGAGCCCCGGTGACACCAATCCGTGCGATGTATCTGGCCTTGTTCGTGCACTCAACATAGAGGACTTCTGAATCATTCTTCATCTGACCTGTCCCCCAGGACCTGTTTGCCTTGGGTGACCCTACCAGGGGCATGAAGCCCCCGACAACACAGCTCCAAATCATTCGGGCACTCAAACCCCTCCACCACAATAAGGTGACGGTTCAAGAAGGGGCTGTATTTTGCCCCATTTCAGAAAAACACCTCACACACCTTAACTCTGTTTTCCTGTCAAAAAATAGTACACATAAACAAGAGCATTTCTCATATGTCATGGGAAAAGAATGGTCATGCAGTCTTGATTTGTTCAGTATCATCATTATTATTATTGTTGTTATTATGAAATGAGTGTTAATGATGAGTTGTGTATGGTCATTTAACATTTTCAAGTGAATAACTTGAAACAAATTTACAAATTTATGAAAAATATTTGTGTCATGCGGTGCCCCCTCACTGGTTGTGAATAGTTGTGCACTGTGCCACTGGCCCGTATGGATAATCCGGCCTTGCATCATGCTGGGAGTGTTCTACATGTATGTGTATGGTGGAATGTTCAGTAGTGACCATGGTGACTGAAAATTCAAAATTGATTTAAACAGCATAGGAGTCTGTAATCAGTACAAGTTTAGGGTCTTGTAGGTGTTTGATTTTCAACAAAAAGGTGAGTGATTAACTGGAAAACAGTTGGATAATTCCAGCTAGCTTGTGACTATAAATGTGTTTGTGAGGGACTTGTTTAAAAGGACAAATAATCTTACAAAAAGCCTGTTCTTTCTGGTCAGATTGTGTTGAAACCTAGGACAGAGCATGTCTGCAGTTAGTTCCCCCAGGGAATGTGGATGACATCAGCTGCAAAGTAACAATAAATAAACAAATAAAAAATAACTGACAGGTTGCTCCTCTAGAAGGGTGCTCCTGCACACCACTCCTCCACAGGGCTGTGGGCTGTAGAGGAGGTTCTGGAGGAGGAGTCTGTCTCCTGACCAGGCTCCTGGGATCCTCACAGTGACTCCCAATCTCAGGGGGGCCCATTTTTTTCCCAACTGAAGGTTTGTGTGTCTGCAACTGAGATTTGGGAAAATACCATGGGGACGACAAGAGTACATTCTGGTACAAGAATGGAGTGGCATTTATTTTGAAGATGACAATGGCGGTAATAGTTGGCCTAGAGGTGCACATTCACACCATAGGGTACAGATCCAGGCATGCCTCTTGTTTGTGACAGTTGCAGTGACCATTGGAACAAAAGTTCTAAATTCCTTTAGTTTGGGAATAAAAGGAGCTCAGCAGTCTGCAGATGCTTTTGGTTTCATCAGGCCAGGACCCTCCCTGTTCACTGGGGTGGTAGAAGTGTGAAGCTGGGATTAAAATGAGCACCTCCAAACTCTGGAGGCTTTGTGTGTTAAAGGAGGCCTATTGTGGAAAGTGGATTTATCAGTGCTTTTTAGCATGCTCCAGGTCTCCATAAACAGTTGACAGTCATGGTCAGTTAAATACAATCAATTCAATCATTGTGTCCTTAGGCAAGACACTTCGCCCACATTGCCTAGTATGAAAGTGGTGTGTGTGTGAGTGATGGTGGTGGTCGGAGGGACTGATGGCACCAAGTGGCATGGCAGCCATGCTTCTGTCAGTGTGCCCCAGGGCAGCTGTGGCTACAATAGTAGTTTACCATCACCAGGTATAGAGTGAATGAATAATGCTGTATGAATGAATGAATGAATAATGCTGTATGAATGAATGAATGAATAATGCTGTATGAATGAATGAATGAATAATGCTGAATAATGCTGTGTAAAGCGTCTTTGGGGACAGAAAATGTCTGTGAAAGTGCTATATAAATAAAGACTTACTTTTATTTTTTATCTTTTTATCATGTTAGAGCTGTTTCCCCTATTCCCGTTTTCACCACCACCGGAACACGTCCACTGCTCTGTACTTGCTTCGCTCTCTTTTTATCTTTTGATACGTGTAGGATTCAGCAGCATGGTGTAGTTATTTTGGTACAAATTATAAACAACGGTCTGCTCACTGCTGTGATGTACAGCCCATAACTCTTTGTTGTGAAGATGTTTTCGATGACGTCTGCTCTCATTTGGTACCGGAGCTTTCTAGTGCAGAAGTCAGTGGACCTGTTTATTATTATTAAGTCATTTTAGATATACATTGAGATTTAAAATGTCCAAATAATAACATAATGATCCACGAGTGTAATATTATTGCTATATAGCAGACACAAGCACAGTATGTCTTTTTTAAACGTGTGAATGAAACAAAAAACAACTCCAGGTATGTTGTTTATGTGAAAACATTATTAGATAGATCAGAAAATAGCCTCATATGGGCCCTTTAACTCCACTACACTGTAAAGTAAATGTAAACAGCTTGGAGAATCTGATCCATTCCATGATCCATATCCAGTGCTCCATTGTGCCGAGGCAGCTGCATTCACTGTGGCACGAAGCATTCTCTCAGGCCTGGAGGGGTAGACAGGGCCCAGTCTGAAAAGGCCAAGCTAGGCC